GGCTCTGTGGTTTAACCCACAGCGCCACCCGCATCCTAACCTGATCTACATGCTTCTTAAGGTAAAGGTAAAGGTACCCCTGCCCGTACGGGCCAGTCTTGCCAGACTCTAGGGTTGTGCGCTCATCTCACTCTATAGGCCAGGAGCCAGCGCTGTCCACAGACACTTCCGGGTCATGTGGCCAGCCTGACAAGCTGCATCTGGCGAGCCAGCGCAGCACATGGAACGCCGTTTACCTTCCCGCTGGTAAGCGGTCCCTATTTATCTACTTGCACCCGGAGGTGCTTTCGAACTGCTAGGCTGGCAGGCGCTGGGACCGAACGAGGGGAGCGCACCCTGCCGCGGGGATTCAAACCGCCGACCATGCGATCGGCAAGTCCTAGGCGCTGAGGTTTTACCCACAGCGCCACCCGGGTCCCATACATGCTTCTTATCCCCATACAAATCTTCTGTGATTCCATTCATCTTAAAACACCCCCATGCAACATGCCTATTTCCTGCTACCGAAACCTAGAAATGTTCTAAAACCAGAGTGTGTTGTCAATTACCAAGGAGAGGCTTGCTTACAGTAGCCATTACATTGTCTAGGACATATTTTATATTTGTTTCTCCCAGCAGGGTCCAACCTATTAGCAGCAAAGAATTTCGTACAAAAATATGGCCCTTAGACTCTCCAAAGTGAAATGTAAAACATATTTGGCTAGTCAAAAAGCCCCATAAACAAATGTGTTGGAAATTCATTATCTTAAAAATAAAGAAGAGGGTAAAGGCAGCTTTGCCGGCAATTACATGTCCATCAAGTATTAAAAGTAACACCCAGAGATTCTAAAGGCAGTTCACAGGAACTTGCCTTAGCCAAAATATTGCCCTGGAGTCAGCAGATTTGAGTCTTTTACATAGTATACCCAAATGCAGCATGGAAAGGCAACAGCAGCAGCTCATTTTCAAGCCCTCAGTTGTCGCTCCTGCGAAGTGTAATTCAGGCTACACTGCGTGACCAGGCGGAAACAGTCCCAGCCCCCAGGAATCATAAGGAATAAAGACTCTGACAACATTACATGGAATTAAAATTAGGCCACAACTTTATTAAACTTTCAAATGTAAGAAGACCTTGGCTTAGGCCTTGGGCGTGTATCCCTCCCAGCCCCCCAGCCAGGGGGAACTGGGGCTCATCAGGGTAAATGGGATATGGGGATGCTCTGCGAGACGTAAGTGTAGCAGGCAGCCAAGCACATATCCCCACACACAGGGTAGTTCACCAATGACCTTTCAGTGTATGGCCAGTGACACCCAAAATATAACTCCTTTAAAAAGGGGACCCTGGAATTGCCGACGCAGGGGGGGTGAGTCACCACTTCACCCACCCATATAGGGAATAAAAGACTAAAGGATTCTACCCAAGCATAGTGTCAACTTACAGATTTGAAAATAAGGGAGCAGCAGCCTCGAAAATAAGGGATCAGCTGCCAAAATAAGGGATTTTAGTCAACCAGCTGAAATACGAAGTTAAAAGGGACCAGATAATTTGGGAGAGCAGCGCCGGTTTTTAGCCCTTCGTTTCCAGAGATTGCTGCTCAAGACACCAGCTGATGAAACACTGCAATTAAATAACTACAAGCAGCAACCACTTTTCGCGCAAAACGAAGTCCAAGCTACAAAGATGCTGCTGCAGTTCTGTTCTGTATCTTTTCTCTCGTGCTCCATCTGCAGCTCTCAGTTCCATCAAGCGGGGCAAGAGGAAGGGGGGGGAAATAGCGCCCGAAGTAAACCCGCAGATCAGACCATCTATGCTAGTCTACCACTACAAATCTATGGGAGAAGCGCTTGCAGTCCTTCCTCCGCTTTCCCCCTCTATGGTTAGCCCTTGGAACACCTGCCCATGCCTCTGCTTCCGCCTCTGCCTCCGCCTCCTCGTCCTCTCTCTGAACTGCTTTCTCTATGGTTGCCCTCGCTCTCCTCTCAAGGCTCCTCAGCAATTCATAGGCCGTGCCAGGCTGCCCATTTCATTCGGGTCCTTCGGTGGCGCAGCCGCAGTACAGCCTAGCAGGAGCGGCGGCGGCGGGCAGAGAGGAGGCCCCAGGCAGAGATGCTCAGATCGACGGCCAAGAGGAGGGTGGTGGCAGAAGGGCCCGAGGCTCCTGCAAGTCCCGGCGGGGGGGGTGTGTGCTCCCGGGAGCCAAGGCTGGTGAGAGGAGGCTGGAGGGGGGTGGGCCGGGCAGCCAAGCAACACAGTTGGAGCCTCCCTCCTCCCTGGCCGGCAGGGAGGGAGGGAGAGGAGCTGCTTCCTTTGAAACCCTGGAAATTTAAGGGACATCATCAATCTGGGACAGCAGCAGGACATGGCACTGGAATAAGGAAGTTTCCTGCCAAGTAAGGGACGGTTGACAGCTATGCACCCAAGGCCATAACCACCAAAGTTGTGACGAATTGCTATGGGGAAGACAAAACCTGCCAATGCAGGAAAATTTCTTCCCAGTCCTTCAATAGCAACCAGTCAAAGACCATAGCAGCACCCGCTAAACAGGAAGAAGAAGAAAAAAAAGAAATATTAAACAAAGGGAGGGTAGGGAGGGTGAATCTCCAGAGTCAACCGCCTGGCTATTGTTGGCTCTACCCCTTATTTATAAATAGGGCTGGCCCCACCTCCCTGCAAGAAACTTGATCACTGAGGCTGGGTGTGAGTCTCCAAAAATTAGCACTGAGAGGCAAGCAAGCCCCTGTTTGCTAGTAAGATCCCTGGGAACTGTAGCACCATGTGCGATCCCGCAAAGGGCACCCACAATGTAAAGTGTGAGTGCTCATTGTCAAAGGTACACAAACACTACACTAGTAGCTTAATAAATAGCAAAGCCTGAACATGCGATCCAGCATCAAACTTCTTATTTGAAAAGAACCCCCCCGATCTTGTTCTACTTTCCTTTCAGTATGATTGGAAGTGATAAAATATCATGAAGGATGACTGTATGGAAGGCAAAACGTCCTGTCACTTTAGCTATTTCCATCTCAGCAGCAAGTAGCACAGAAGAAAATGAATACCAACAGGGCTGCCCTCCTCTTTATTCTTTAATGGTTGGAAACTTTGCAACCATTTGCCTAAGGGCCAGTTCACACTACACACACCCACACACACCAAACATCCTCAACAGTCTAGTTTCTCTAGTGCTTAAAGTATATTGCATGCACCAATCGAAGCACATTTCGGTTCAGAAGCAAAAGTTCCCCAAATATATGGACAAAGTCAATGAATAATACAACAGTTCTTCCTGGTGGTTTGAATTCTGACCAGTTTAGTGATGCAACTTCTACTGTGAAAGAATCACAGTACATTTCCACAGACAAAATTTTGAGTACATGGTAGTGACAATAAATACTCCAAACTCATCCAAGGTAAGAAATGACATATACTTCACTTACAACCAATATCTGTTGACGATTCCTCCAGATATCCCTTCTCGCTGAACATCCATGCAAAGCCAATTCGGGTCTCCTGCTCAGTTGTTAAAAAGAACGGGAAATAATAAAAGCGACCACTTTTCACTTACATGTTAGATGGGAATATCCCCTGAGAGTTTTGTGGCAACCATTTAATTTACCGGTATCTTTAATGGCCTGCAAAAAACCTAATACCACTAGCATTAGAGAAATGGGTAGACTACTGGCCTGACCCGAGGGCTTTCTTTAGACTGCTGACCACTGGTTCTGTTAGCTAGGGATGATGGGAAACCTGGAGACCCAAGTTTGGGAAACCCTACTTTAGAGCATCGTAGCCTGGATTGCTCAGTTGGTTAGACTGTGGTGCTGATAACACCAAGATTGCAGGTGCGATCCTCGAATGGGACATCTGCATATTCCTGCATTGCAGGAGATTGGACTAGATGTTCCTCAGGTCCCTTCCAACTCTACAGTTCTATGATTCTAAGAATGAATCATTGTGCCTGAGAGTCTTCTATAGGGATGTCCTATAGACTCTTGCTATGAATGACTTTTGCCTTAGTTCTCTACAAATAGAGGTTTGGGTTTTTTAAATTGCACATATTATACTTAAGCAGACATGTAAATTGCTTTGCAATGTATGTTCTTTACATATTAATTGACTTATAACTGCCACTATCCAGACACGTTCCACATTGATTGATTTATTTTTTTGTTTCTTTAGTGTTGCTTGTTGACTTTGGTAAAATATGTTTTGTTCATTGTTTATTCCCAGTTAAATAGGTTTAGGATTGAGCCTTAATCCACTTCCTCCTGTGAATTAAAACAAACAAACAATGGAATGCACTGTTCATCACTGCCCTTTTCACACAGAAATAAGTCATCTGTTTTGTTACCTGTGGACTTTTGTCTGAGCTGCTGTGTCAATCCGTTTGCATAAACTACTTAGAGGTTTTATTACAATCAGGAAGTATCTTGATTGTAAAATAAATGAACAACCTGGATTTTAATTCTCATTTTTGACCATCCATCCATTAAATCTTTTGTTTTTTAAATCTTAAGTGTCCTTGTCCCACTTCCCGGCAAACCCCAATTGCTCTCCTTTTGTGTTTGTGCGTGTGACTCCCTGCACTGTCCCCCGGTTATAAAGCACATATACACTTAATTATCTCTGTGTTGTGAATTGAAACAACAAACAAAACACGTTATTCATTACTGCTCTTTTTTTTCACATGGCAGGAATATATTGGATTTCAAGCTGTCATACATAAATCATCTCCACTTCAAACATTTAAAACATAAATTGCCTTAAGCATCATGTTCCAGCAGATGCACAAAAAATGATCTGGCCAATAATCAAACTGAAAACTATAAGAAGCACTATTTAGGCAGGACAGATGGACAGTGCCCCAAAATGGTAGAATGGAAACTAATAGGTATTACAGCAGCTTAGAAAACCTTGCCTTTACAAATATTGGGGGGGGGGGGGGAGGACGGAATCACAGAATTGGAGAGTTGGAAGGGACGACAAGGATCATTTAGTTCAACCTTCTACAATGCAGGAATCTCTTTGCACAGTGTGGGACTTGAACCCACGAGCCTGAGATCGAGTGTCTCATGCTCTACTAACTGAGCTGTCACAGGTGATAAAATCAAAACATATACCAAAAATGCAATATTAGCCAGTGGAAGCCTCTGCTAAAACAATTGGCTAGGATGTTGCACATTTCCAAATATGCATGTTTTATATTTATAAACCACACTTTCATCACCTGTAATCAATAAAACTGTGCCCTTATTTAGCCCATTAACCTTAAATGGTTGTGTCATGTGTCATTATTTCCACCGGGGGGGGGGGGTCTGGAACTCGCCACACAACTAAGAAAGGCTGCACTGAAAGAACCCTGGTTGACTGTCTCCTGTAAATTTCTTACTCACTCACTGATCTGGAAACAACAGCAAGTGACAGAGGCTAGAAGAGGGTGTATCTGCTCCATGGTCAGTTCATGTCTCTGTGATGGTTATCCCCCCAGGTCTTGCGGCAATGTAAATGCCCAACCAGACTGGCTGCAGATGCACACTGCACGACAGAAATATACTGTACTCTGAATCACTGCACAATAGTCAGTGGCTGCATAATGGATTCTTGTAATTCCCCTTCCTGTTGCTCCTGACACTGATAGTGAGAAAATGCTCTCTTATGACACAGCCAATTGATTTAGGCAATTTACCTTCCTTATGTGTCCATCACGCACTTCTGAAATCCATCTTGCACGCACAATTGGTCCGAAAAAGAAAAGAACAGATGCACCAGGCAGGCTCCGAAAATAACTATGGAAAACTGAAATGCAAAATTCACTGGGAGGGGAATGAAAAGGAAATATTTCAAACGTGTCCTTTCTCAAACTAGAAAAATATATGTATTTAGACTCCCCTCCAGAAGGGCAGGTGAGTTCCATTTTATTTCCTTCTGGCCTTCTTCACCCACCCAGCTGCTGGGGACATAATGTTTGACAAGGTTAAGGACACTCAACTTTCCAGCTTAGAATGGAGGTGATGCTGTGATTTTATATGAGTTTCCCCTCAAAGAAAACGGAACTTGTGAGAGGTTCAGCTCCTGATTAAATATATTCCATAGCTGGGCTCGCAAAGTTCAGAGTGTGTGAGAGAAATGGAGTATTCAACCTGAAATAATGGATCTGGCCTTTTGGACTGGCTGTGTGTGGGGAAATCAATCATCTAACTCTCTCCAGACCATGAGCACATGTTAGGAAACTGGCTTTGGAGCAATCCTAAAATGCATTATGATGTGGGTGTCCCATCATGGACTGGACATGCAATTTTGTGAGGAAAAATGGGGGTGGGGGAGATCACTTCAGCCCTTCAGATGCATAGGTTGCATAGGGGACAATGCAAAAAGAAAACTAAATGACTGAAGGATATAAAAAACTCAGAGACATTAATTTGTGAAAGTTTTATTTCACTGAATTTTTAAATGGCAATTAAAAATACAATTTAATGTCTATTGCTTTCTTTAAAAAAAGATAAAAAATTATCAGCAGCAGGGTTGTTTTTATTGAGAAGTAGTGTAATAATATTACAGAATTATAATTTGATATAAACATTGAAATAAATTAATCTATTAAGTGGGTGACAACAACATGACAAACTGAAAGGATTTCGTTACCTCTGCTACCTGGCACCCCTGCCAGCTTTCTTATAGATCAGTAGGTTCATTTTTTTTGAACTTTGGGTTATTCATTTGCAAGTGGTACTTTCAAAGTAACAGCAGGAAGATAATGTAACAAATTACAAAAAAGGATATATACAAAGGCCACATATGACCTTGGATCTTGTTGTAAAGGAGAGGTGAACGAGGTGAAAAAAACACATTCTTTTAAACTACAGTCATACCTTGGAAGTCAAACGCCTTGCGACTCGAACATTTTGGCTCCCAAATGCCACAAACCCAGAAGTGAGTGTCCCAATTTGCAAACGTTCTATGGAACCTGAACGTCCAATGTGGGTTCCGAGAGTTCTGATTGGCTGCAGGAGATTCCTGCAGCCAATCGGAACCCGTGCCTTGGTTTCTGAACGTTTTGGAAGTTGAACGGACTTCTGGAACAGATTCCATTTGACTTCTGAGGTACGATTGTATCTAAGCGAGCCACTCAAGAGCTGTCCATGCATGTGAGGTAGTCCTTTTTCTTTACTCAATTCTATTTATGTTCTGAGTAAACAAAAACAAAAGCACGAGAGTTTTACCCATTTCCTAATGGGACTTTTAGCTTTTCAGTCAGCGTGCAACTCCTTACATGGCTGTACCAAGTGTCTTCTGAGACTGTAAAGATGGGCTGCCATTAATAATAGTAGCACCAAATCTTTATACAAGAGGTCTTGATTAGAGCCCTCAAAGATGTTCAGTGAGGTTCTTTCTCTTCTTCAGCCAGCTCCGCAGGTAACCTTTACAGATAAGTTAGGTGGCAGTTTAGGCTCTTTAGCCTGCCCCATTCCCTACTATTTGGTGTGGGGTGGTGGACCTGATATGTTAGCCAGCTAACCAGTGACTGGGTGCCCCTTAAAAAGCTTGTAGATTTCAATATAAAGGTATGTGAAGCATAACTTCTCAATCTCAGAAATGGAAAATGCCTTGAACTGCAAACTGCTGTTGAGCTTGGCAATGGAAGCTGCACACAAAAAAATGTGTTTTCTTCCCTGCATTAAATGCCTCTAGAGTACTGGATACTTACTATACTACATAATAAGGTTAATGGCTAGCTACCTTAAGGCACTGATTCAGCAAAACTGTAAACCTTGCGCTGGAATTAAGAACATGCTTCTATAAAATCTAAAGCACTATTTGCCTTACATGGAAGTCGCATGGCCTTTTTTTCTCTTTTTTTCCACACAAGTGAGCAGCACAACCCTTAAGCTGTTTACTTCACTGTAACGGATGAACTGCTGCAGATAAGGGACCTTCTGCCGGTGAAATGAGCACATGCGTTCAAGGTCGTGAGCAATTTTCTCTCCCAGTTTCCCCTTTTGCTTGGCAGCATGTCCCAGGGTTTCCACTCCATCTTGAAACACATTACAGCTATCACGGACGTCAAGTTTTGATAGGCACCTTGAGACCACTTCTCTGTAGTCTGCCGTCCATGTGGACACATCCGATATGATTGACTGTGGCACGGAGGCATTCTCCAAGCAAAAATTAATTGCCTCAGCTTCTGCCTATTACGGGGTTAGCTGAATGTGACTGTTCCATTGGACCTCTAACGGATGTGTATATACTGTGTCTTGCCATTCTAGTCAAAGATGGTAGACCTTCTTCCTCACCGTTTTGAAGTACAGTAGTATCTCCGGTTACGTAACCCTCTGGTTATGTAAACTTCAAGATGCGAAAGCGGCAAACCCGGAAGTATTTGACCAGGTTTCACTGCACGCACATGTGCAGAAGAGGTCCTCAAGTTGCAAAAACCTCAAGATCTGACTGGACCTCCAGAACAAATCCCATCCACAACTGGAGGTACCACTGTATCCAGATAGGGTTGAATTTGATGAGCATTCCTACTGGAATAATTACAGTGGTACCTCGGGTTAAGTACTTAATTCGTTCTGGAGGTCCATTCTTAACCTGAAACTGTTCTTAACCTGAAGCACCACTTTAGCTAATGGGGCCTCCCGCTGCCGCCACGCCATCGGAGCACAATTTCTGTTCTCATCCTGAAGCAAGCTTCTTAACCCGAGATACTATTGCTGGGTTAGCGGAGTCTGTAACCTGAAGCGTATGTAACCTGAAGCGTATGTAACCCGAGGTACCACTGTATAGCAAAAATATATTCTTCCTTTCTCTCTTTCAAAAATCATCTATAGGCTGTATTGGGGGGGGGGGGCATAACTCCATCCAAAGAGGCTTACAATATCGAAAAAACACAACACCATATAATGATCCCTAATGTGTAATATCCCTTTTCATAGCTGGTATACACCAAACCCATTTCCAGAGAACTGTTCACTATGACTCCAAGATCAGAAACTGACTTCCTGTGACTTCCTGTAGACGTGGAGCTGCTGGTCAGAGAAAAAAAATGCCATTGCTACCGTCTTATATCCAGTTTCTACAGAGGCTGCCTTTCTTCAGGCTTGGGCAACTGGGCACCAAGGGAGGCTGCCCGGGGTTCACTTTGTACTACCAAATGATCCTCCTTCAAGCTCCCTACTGCTCCTACCAAACATATTTGCCCTGTTTTGGGTCTGAATACTTGCTATGATGCTAACCTAGATATAAAAGAAACCATATACATGACATTTGGGATATGTGCACACCACCAAGTCACATAAAAGCAAGATTTTTAAAAGGAGTGGTTGTGGAAAGGAAGATATGAGTCCTACTGTGACTCATTCTACTGGGAGACTGGGAAATTTCTGGTGATTCATTCAACAGCAACCCTTCAATGGGCATTGACCCAGTTCCATCAACTACCAGTCCATGCAACAGACACTGCACTTCAGCTTGGGATGGCTGCAAGTGTTCTATAGGTTTGCACACACTTCTAGGTAAATCTCCAGTTGGGATACTGCCTATTTAGGACATATTCTTATAGACAGCCATCTGGGAATCAGTTACACTGAGCACAATGGGATGTATTTCTGATCAAATATGCACTGGATTGCACTGTATGGATCCTTGTTTGCAAATAACTCAGTGGGCCCAGATGGTCTTGCTCTGATAGGATTGAATGCCCTCTCCTTTCCATTTCATTGCCTAGAACTGATGTAAAAAATGAACCGTGCCAAATGAACCATCTACCTCTGTTTTGCTTCAGAGTGAATTTACATGACCATTTTGTTCCTGGGTTGTTTATATTTTTAAAAAATCTATCTCAGAGAACAGAAGACAGCATGAATTGGGTCCCAGTAGAGTTCTTGGCTGCTTAAGGGATGGCCTCTGCTATGCTCTTTACTGCATGCCTGTATGCCAAATATCCTTCCCACATCTGGCCTCCATCCACTTGTCAAGATCACCTCATATTCTATTTCCAACAGCTTACCTTCCCGTTGGCATCAGGTGGCATTCACAATTGCATAAGCTCTACTGATGCCTGTACTACTGGGTGCTCTACACAAATGTTTCCAATGG